TCAGTTTAGTGTCTAACATGTGGAGGGAGCGAGTGAGAATTCAATTTCTCTAAAAATACTGGATTTACCCACTTTAACCACACTGTGTATCCTAAATGGGTTTAAAGTAGATTGATGGCACTTGTAGTATCTACAGTAGTATCATCATTTTATTTTGTAGTCTTTCATGACAAAAATGTATTTAGTGAATAGGTAATATCTCTAATTATAACAATAGCCTAATAAATTAAACATTAATTTTTTCAAAACAGAGTTACAAACTACACGAGAAAAAAACAAATTTAAACAATTTAGCACAACAGTGAGATAAAATCAGGCAACGTAAAGACAGTAGAAAAAACATGTAAAATAAATGGCATCCTTCTGTAAAGTGTCCTTCAGAATACAAAAACAGTGTAAATATTTTACAAAACATCATATAAACATCTGCGTAAGTAAAGAAACTGAGAGAATTCAGTAAGTGCAGACAAGGCAACTTGAGCTGAAACATTAGACTCGGGGCATGGATAAAAAGTGTATTTATCTTACTGCTCAGTTTGTGGTTTGATCTCCTGCACACACACATTTAGCCGGAACCTTTTCAGAGCACATACAGTATTTCCATTATCTTTCCTGTAGTGTTGTGTTTTACTCTTTCTGTAAGAGGGTCTGTGGTGTTCCATCTGCCTTTTGTTCTCTGTTACAATGAGAGAAAGAGCTGTGCCCCCCATTACACACACACATTTTTCAAGGTGATCTGTGTGTGTGTGTGTGTGTGTGTGTGTGTGTGTGTGTGTGTGTGTGTGTGTGTGTGTGTGTTGAGAGAGATAAAAGAAAGCATTTTTCTCCGGCAGTGTGCCTACCAGCTGCTTGGCTTAATACTTAACCAACAGTGAAGTCTGGAACAGGGCTGGGGTCAGACGGGGGACCTGCACGTGTGTGTGTGTGTGTGTGTGTGTGTGTGTGTGTGTGTGTGTGTGTGAGATGTGTGAAAAGGCGTGCCCATTGTAATCACACACCCTCCCCTCTCTCCTCTCCAGCCATCTGCTCGGCGGACTGCAGTGAGAAGCACGGCTACTGCGAGGCCCCTGGGGGCTGTACGTGTCGCATGGGCTGGCAGGGCCCCTCCTGCAATGAATGCGTCCGCTACCCAGGCTGCCTCCACGGGACGTGCAGCCAACCGTGGCAGTGTAACTGTCAGGAGGGCTGGGGGGGCCTCTTCTGCGACCAGGACCTCAACTATTGCACCAACCACAAGCCCTGCGCTAATGGGGCAACCTGCACCAACACGGGCCAGGGCAGCTACACCTGCACCTGCCGCCCCGGCTTTGGAGGTACGAACTGTGAGCTGGAAACCAACGAGTGCGACAGCAACCCCTGCAAGAACGGAGGCAGCTGCAATGTGAGTGTACACCAAAACAAAGAAACAAGATGTCACAGATAAGATAACTGTTCTTGATCCCACTCAAGTGTCACTGCAACTCAAGTACAAGACCAGTAACTCTAAAATGCAGCTTAAATACAGCTATTACACTTCTAGCAGCAAACACAGTGGTGCAAAAGATTACAGTTGGCAAATCCAGGTCTTGTTAACCAATCTATTTATTTAGTGAGTAGGTAATATCTCTAATTATAACAACAACATTTCTTCACCTCCTCTGTCCACAGGACCTGGAGAACGACTACTCCTGCACCTGCCCGCAGGGTTTCTATGGTAAGAACTGCGAGATCATTGCCATGACGTGCGCTGACGGTCCCTGCTTCAACGGCGGCACCTGTGTGGAGACGATGACAGGAGGCTACACCTGCCGCTGCCCCCCCAGCTACACTGGCTCCAACTGCGAGAAGAAGCTGGACCGCTGCAGCAACAGGCCCTGTCTGAATGGTGAGTGCCTCCGCTCTGGTGACACCTTGTGGCTGAAGTGCAGATCACCAGTTTCTTGGCTGAACATGAGATTGTTTTAGTGAATGGGCATTACTGTCAGCACTCAGAGAGAGTGTTAAATGTAATCCCATTAACACTCCTTTAAACAAACGCCTGTCCCTGATCTCTTGGATGCTGAACTGAGTATTTTCTCCTTCGGCAGGTGGAGAGTGTCTGGACCTTGGCCAAAGCGTTTTGTGCCGCTGTCAAGCAGGCTTCACTGGTGCCAACTGCCAGGTCAACATAGACGACTGCGCCTCAAGCCCCTGCCAGAATGCTGGAACCTGCCAAGATGGTGTGGACGATTACACCTGCTCCTGCACCCTGGGGTACACCGGCAAGAACTGCAGCGTGCGCTCAGATGCCTGTGGCGCCCGCCCGTGCCAGAACGGTGGCACTTGCTTCACACACTTCACCGGGCCGGTGTGCCAGTGCCCTAAGGGCTTCATGGGTCCGAGCTGTGAGTTCACACTCCAGCCCAGCTTCAAGCCCGCTCTGCGCCAAACCTCCCAGCCCTCCTCTGCTACCCTCACTGTCTCTTGCATCCTGGCCGTCCTGGTGCTGGTTCTGGTGGCGGGTATCATCTTCTTGAGGAGGAGGAGGAGACTGCAGGGGAGGAAGCAGCTGAACGACAGTGCAGTCTACAACGACTTGGAGACAGTCAACAACCTGGGAGGTAGCGAAAGAGAAGCCTTCCTCGTTCCCAACGGCCTGTTCAAGATCAGCAACAGCACGGCCCGCCTCAGCCTCTCCCTCTGCCCCGACGGAAGATCCGGGTACAGGCACACCCCCGTGGAGAGCAGCCTGGTCAGAGGCGAGCGTCAGGACTTTATGTGGAGGGACGAGGCCGGCCTGGGCTCCGCAGCGGGGCTGAGATGAAACAGAGAAAATGCGGACGTTCACACAGGCGTAGGAGAATATTAGCACTTGCTGCTCCTCTCTCTTCATGCACAGTGAAGAGAGGAGCAAACCCAAGAAACAAAATATTGACAAATGAACTATTCTGATGAAGATGATTTTACAAAGATTATTGAAAAAGTATATGGGGCAAAGCTCTTCCACGTTTAAGACCCAAAGAAACAAATAATACGAGTCACTCTACATAGGACCTACAACACAAACCAAATACAGGAAGTCACAACAGTCTTGGAAAACCTGCCCAAAAAATATGTTTTATTGGGTTTTTGTTTTTAATATGTTCACTTTGTTTAATTCTTTCTCATTTTTTAAAAAAATACTGAATTTTTGTTTTTCGCTTTTCAATCTTCCTTTGGCCATTATTTCCTTATTGTGCGTACCATCATTCTTATTATTTATATTATTTATTTATTTGAAAACATATGTTTATGGCCTGACTTTGATTGTCACAGATGTAGAAATATATATTTATATGATGATGCTGAATGAAGACCGACTCTTGATGTTGTACCTGGATGTTTTATGGGCTGTGAAGGCTGTGTGAAATATCCCAAAAATATTCAGGGATATGAGGAGAATTTGCTTTATCACTCAAAGTCAGCCATTTCTGTAATGTATATATATAGCTTATATACTACTGATCACATTGCTCCTTCATGTGCCAATTTGTGTTCATGCCAAAGTTTGTGTTATGTTTCCATTCATATTATTTAATTTCATCATGTTGTGTTGTGATGTGAAATAAAAGATTTGCTTTGATGCAATTCTGGATTGAGGTGTCTGTTCTGTACGCCGAGTGTCACATTTTGCAGGATACAGGTGGTCTGTAGCCTGGGTACTCAAGTGCTTTATGGCTGTTTTCTCAATTAATCAGTTATTCCAAAAAAATATAAAACATAGTGAAAATTGCATCAAAGCTGCTTGTTTAGTCTAGCCAACAATGTACAATACACGTTTTTCACAGCAGCCATCTGAAACTTAACTGGATTTAAAGCAAAAATCTAAAAAAATAAAAATAGAAAATAATTTGAAATACTTTAATACACTGGCACACCCTCCTTCTTAAAGAGGTCTGAACTGGGGGTGAAAATCCTGTAAGGAACTAATGCTGTTAGTGTTAACCACTTATTGTGATTATAGTTTTGTATTTTTCTTTTGTCTTTATATTAATAATATTTAGTATATTTTGTTTTCAGTTCAGTTAGGTTCCACAGTGCTGTTTCTCATTTCAGTTGAGTTTTTATTGTTTGATTTATCTTATTAGTTTTAGGGTTTTTTGTTGTTTTTATACAATAATATGGAGGTATTTATCAGGGTGAAGACTGAAGAGGTTCAGAATAGGTATTATAATACAAACACTCAGTCATGTAGAAGCCCCAGTGTCAATAAACAGATGCACCAATGCCTCCTTGTTTTAAAAACTATAAAAGTATAACTAGACATTTCCTGTATATCTATTTTTTTGTAAGTTCTTCTTATTTCTATTTCACTTAACAAACATATTTTTCCACACCTAGTTCTAGATCTAGTGTTTAGTTTCGTTTTAGTGAACTATAATAACACCCACCAGCTTGGGCCCAGACATTGATAGATTGATTTTATTTGATAAATTAAAAATCAGTACGCATATTTGCATACAGTAGCTACTTAAATGCATGAGGACGTTGCAATATAGTCATATGACTTATTTCCATGACTTTTATTATCACCAGCCTAATTGGTGCAATCAGCTGACACACCTTCTTAATTAGCTGCAGTTTCCTACCCTGACCTCAAGAGACTGCCAACATATGTCTGCGTCCTGTGAGTTTTAGTGTTTGTCAATGTTTAACCTGATTATTATTTATTTATTGATTAGCAGTTTTACAGACATCCTTGGCCAGGCTGTCAGATTAGGCAGAAATTAGAGATTTGATTTAAAAGCTGAAACCTGAGTTTCCTTGTTTACTGCTGTAAATATCAAGTTGGAGGTGGTGTGTGAGAAGCAGATGAAACTTATCATATTATTATTATATTATTTGTATTGTATTATAACTTATAAAGTTCAAATGAAAGTCTCTTGCACGAGAAAATAAATAAAGCCATGTAAATAGTTAGCCTTAGAATAAATACCCTGTAGCCCATGTAAACACTTGTGCCCTGCAGTCTGTGCCGTCGTCGCCTCCCACCGCCGCTCTCTCACCTCCTGCGCTTGAAACGAGACGAGAAACCAGTCAGAGCAGTTCAGACCAGACCAGAAATGGCAGCCGACCGGACCAGGACGACGCTTGAAGAAAATGACGAAGTTCATTCATCAGATCTGGGGTTGTCCCCGGATCACGGGTGCAGTATCCCGAAGAGACATGCCCGGGTTACCGTCAAGTACAACAGGAAGGAGCTGCAGAGGCGGCTGGACGTGGAGAAGTGGATCGACGAGAGCCTGGACCGGCTTTACTCGGGTCAGGTGGGTGCATGGGTCCGAGAGGAAGCAGAGCAGAAAGAAACAGCTTGTTCGAATATACTGCATTGTGTAGTAAGACAATAACTTATAAAATATATTTTTTTAAATAGATCATGTAGATGTTTTAACTATGTGCCTCTCAGCAGTAAAATATGGAAAATGAGGCAGAAAGTTTTAAATATAAAATTAAATGTATTTCATTTTGAACTAGAATATATAGAGAAAGGTGGGGCATCCTGGTTCTCCTTACAAGGACAAGCATCCTGTAGATGTTAGGTCCACTGCTGTCCCCCCTCTCACAGATCTGTATCGGGTCTTTCTGCCTTACATGGGCAGTGTGGAACGGAGAGGAGGATGAATGATGAGAAAAAGGAAGAGGGGAAAGTTATGGAGAAACGAAAGCGCTGTTGTAGGTCCCAGGAGGAGGTAAACACTATACATCTGGCTGCTGAGGCCGCTCTTGGGGAGGGAAGTGCAGGATTGTGTTGTAAAACCAAGTTATTATTAGAACAGGGGTTCCCAAACTTTTTCATGTCAAGCACCCCCACAATACATGCACATTAGACCACCAACCCTTTGTCTTAAGGAATCAGTATTATAATAAAAAAAAAAAGTATTCTATTCCTTCTTTTGCTGGGGACCTTGTAGAACTTGCTCAAGGACCCTTGTTGGACCGTGACCTCAGTTTGAAAACCACTCTATTAGAAAACAGCATTCAGATCAACACGATGATAAGGCAGGGCCAAGCCTTCGGAGAACTTTTGCCCCCAAGCCAATGGCATATTCACACAAACCTCCAAAACCTTATGATGGTAAATGGTCATTTGTATGATTTCAAGGATTTAATCTGTTTTGTTGTCATAATACGGCCCGTGATGACGACATACACTTCTCAGACAAGTGTCATTGAGTTGAACCCAGTCATGTCGCACACAAAACAAGATGAACTGTTATAATTGTATTACTTTTTCAGGTGAGAAGGAAGTGCCTGTATTGTTTAAGTGTGCACAGATAAGGCTGCTGGGCTGTGGAGTCCTGTATGTGTCAAAGGCCTAACTACACACAAAATGCAGTACTGTGGTGTGGATGGGCGGGTGGGACTGCCCCTTCACTCAGCTGGTACAATGGCTGTTTGTTCAAACAGAACAAGCCTCTGTTACAGTATTACGTGAACACTGTTACCATTCAGCCCCCACAGCCTAAACATACAGATGATGGACATGCAGGGCTGAATGCAAAGTCTTCAGTTGCTGCTGAAACAGAAAATGTTTTTTTGTGGAGATACTGGGTAACTGTGGAGGAGCAGTATGTTATTCTTCTCACCTGGTTGTTAAAACAAGTGTTAAATAGCTCTACATTCTGACAGCCATCACTGATATAAGGTGTTCAGTCAGTAACATGGCTCTCCCAGTCCCTGCTCTCTGCAGTAATCGAGAATACATTTCCTCATGTCCTGGTCCAACTTTATCCAATCAGTAGCAAGAACTCTGCAAAGAGGCAGTTGTCAAGGGCAGCCAGCAGAATTTCTGTCTGTACATGTAAAAGGCTCATTCTAAAGTAACAAAAACATTGTTCAGGTGATTATACACTAATGATAACGTACCTATGAATATTAAATTCCATTTCCGTCAATAGATCCTCCTAAATGTTACACACTAGACCTTTTAAGATGCATGTCACACATATATCTCTTTGCCCTACATAAGAATATCCAAAAATAGTTTTGGTTTTTCATCATCACAAGAGTTTAACATTTTTATTTTTAATTAAATATCTCTATTATAAGAGTTGATACACACATTCATAATCCCCAAAGAACTGAAATAACTTTGATCCCCAGACCTTTCATCTAGCACCATCATCTGGTCAAAATTTAATTTTGTCCAATACTATGGTTGGTTTTTCATCAGGCTCAGCTGGACCTGTACTGTGGTTAGTGCTATTAAGCAAATGTTAACATGGTAAACTAAGGTGGTGGACATGGTAAATGTTATACCTGCTAAACATCAAAATGCTAGCATTGTGAGCATATTGCACATGGATGTATTAAGGGAGGAGGAGTGTGTTTGAGGCGAGGCTGCATTCCTATGACAGCTGCTCAGTGGTGCGTGAAGCCAAAAAACTTCAAATATGCTTCCACATCACGTTGCCTAAAAAGTAGTGCACTAGAGACTTCTAGTGCTAACTTCAATGTGGATAAAATGATTTAATCGTATGGCTCTTCTGGACTTTCCAAATGTTATCGGGCCAAATGGATCATAATCTGACAGGGAAATTAGTCACTTTTCGGGGGTAAACAACGTATCCACCGTTTTACAGCCACTTCTTTCGCAATGTAAGTTTATGGGAAAAAGTCTTTTTGGGCCAGTGTGCATCATGCCATTGCTGTAATTACACGGGTTGATCACTATGTCAGATTATCTTTGCAGCCAAGTGCATTTCCTGTGGGCTGCGTTGGCATGCTGATTTAGGGATTTAGCTCAGCCTCACAAAGCTGCTTGCGTGGCTGGAGACTCTTAATCTTTTTATTTAAACAATGGATCTGTATCTGATCTATATGTGAATTAATTAATACTGCTTGATCTATTCCTTTAAATATGAAGAATTTTATTTCAAATAAAAGATATATTGGCCGAATTATGGAGAAAACCTTTTCTTCCATTTTAAGTAATGGTGCAGCTACAAAAAATAATAAATCGCTTACTGTACTATTAGTGTAATATATTGTCCACCTGAATGAAGCATTGGAACAAATGGGACTGTATGGGAAATGTTTGAATGTGTCTGGACCAGATGATAAATGTGTGTTCTGAGTGTGTATGATGATGACTCTTAAGATTGTGTGTGTCCATATTTACTTCAGGAACGTGACATGCCAGAGGAGGTAAACATTGATGACTTGATTGACCTGCCTAATGATGAGGAGCGAGTCAAAAAGTTACAGGTAACATGACCCATGGTAGCACTCATCATACTGTGTTTGAGGGTGTTGCTGATTATGAAATTGGAAGAGGTATACAGATTTGTTAAATATTTTGTCATATATCCATCCATTTCACCCCATGATGAGTTTCTGCACCAAGATGGACACCTTTTGTTCGGAGCACTCAAATAGAAATGTTTGAAAGAGTTTATATAATTGTACAGTACTTATTACTGACTGATATTGACAAAACGAGATTTATAGGTGATGTTTATGGTATATTGAAAATTAATATATGATTTTGTGACTGGTTTGTTTGCTTTTGTTAAACAGGAACTTCTTCAAAAGTGCAGTCACAACACGGAGGTATGTTTTAACCAAAATACATTTCCAACCCAAGATTAGTCATGATGATGCACACATTACATATACAAATGTGCAACGTGCATGCGTGCACACACCCACACCCACTGGCCACGTGCAGCTAAACTGAAGCTGCAGCTTCTGACACCTCGTCCTATGGTCACTCCACACGCCCCAACAATGGCTTTCTGTACGCTCTTGAATTTTCTTTCCATTTTAAGCCTGAAACAATGAGTCCTTCTGGACACAAACGTTGGTCTCGCTGTGGCCCCAGAGATGCAAACACAGGCAAAAGAGCAGGGCGGGTCAGTGTAGCTGCCGCTTTTCTTACTCAGACATAGTTTATTAGGCTCTGATGTGGATGTGTTTTTCAAGTCTGTCTTGAAACAATACTTACATGACAATATGTACATTGGCAGTAACACAAAAAGGAAATTTACCAAGAAAACTGTAACCTTGGAAACTGGTAATGCCTGATTTTTAACAAACACTGGGTTATATTTTTGCTTAATGGCCAGCATGAAAAGAAGGAATAACTCTCAAAAGCAGATCTTTGCATCGATGTAAACTGAAGGCTATGATGTTGGATGTTACAGGAACTGTGATAAATACATATGCAGATTCCACTGTTCTGTTTGCACAAAAAGGTTTTTTAATCAGGCTTTATGCATACATGTGTGTTTTGCTTTGACAATTTTTCTAAAATTTGATTTAAAAAATTGCAGTAGGCCTATATCACTTTTCTTACAGAATCTTACAGATTGAATTGTATAGCCTGTATCATGATATGTATCATATCGCTAGTTGCTTTCCAGTACACAGCCCTATATGGGCATGTGAGTATTGTTTTAAGAAAGTCTGCCTTTTAAGAGCTGCTTGCAACTAAATAGTCTTCTAAGATCACACACCACATCATGCAACCTGAGTTTGTAGCTAAAGACATGAACAGAGGCCAGGCGGCTATCTGACATGTTCACTGCTTGTGTGAGATTTTGCCACAGCTTAGAATTAACTTTAACTACTGCTGATTAATGACCTAAAAAAGAGATGACACAAAAACACATGAATCCATAGCCAAACACATGCTTACAGTCAAGACTGTGACTGGTTGTTTTGTCCACCTCTACTTGAACTGTTGTCATAACATACCATATCTGGATGCTGTTTCTCATCAGGATATAGCTCAGGCTGTGAGGTAAGCAGTAGAAGAGGTGAACCTAATGTCATGCTCAAGAAGTGTTATTGCCTGGCATGTACATTCTGATCATAGTCTGTTCACTTATTTAATGACTTATTCTGACAGCTTTAAACAACAATTATTGAGCAACACATTTACACCACAGCACAAAATGGTAGACAGAGAGGGAACTGTACTCCCTGGTCAGTGGCCTTTGGGTTATCCTCCCGGGACCCCACTGCTCTTCAGGGCGTTTTTCCATCTATGGACAAAAAAGGGGTGGAAAATGACTAAAAACAACATTTATTTGGCACTATATTTGCTTCTTCACTGCTAATTGTTGTTTGTTTAATGTTCTGATAAGGGATGAATGCATTTTGTTTTAATCATTTACCCTTGGTCTTGGAACAAAATGGTCGAGTGCTTATCCAGCTGTTATTGATTGTGATAGTGGTTTTATTAACGGTGCAAACAGACAAGGCTGACAAGAGGCTTACTGTCAGTGACTAGTGATTCTCATGTTGCCATATAAAGTATCTCTCTGTTGCAACTCAGCTGGGATGCTTCCTCTTCGTGTGTTGCTCATAATATGTGGAAAATAGTTTATAGTTTAGGCATATTGTAACAGCTAATACTGTTACTGTAAAACATGGACCCATCTTTCATGCACCTTACATTTTATATGCTAGAATCTGGTACCACCTCTCATAAACTGGCTGTCTACAGTATTTAAGTATGTTTATGAATGTATATGCCAGTTGTATATTTCAGAGCAAAGTCAATGTAAACTGTCTTAGTTGGAATCAACAATATTTCTGTTGAAGCTGGTGCTGAAGAGGAGAATGTGCAGATGTGTTGTAGTGTAGCAGAGAAACAAGCACAAAACAGAAAGCCCCACTAACCATAACAGCTAAAAGTTCAAGGAAGGTTTGTAATGTCTTTTATTTATCTAATTTAATTGTCAACAAATCCCATGTAAAGACTCAAACCACACTGCTGGTTTCTCTCCGTGTTTCCAACCTGTGTATGAGGCTCGAGGCCCCAAACCCATTTGTTTCTAAAGAACATTCTTCAAAGCAAGTCAAATATATACCGTGTACTTTATGTAATTTCTGCTGCTTGGTGTCTCTCGCGTCCCAACAATAACAAAAGATGTAGTTTAATGACGTTGTGAAGTAGCATGGGCTCATGGGAGTTGTTGTCTTCATTGTTAAACAACCACCATAGCTGATGAAAATCTATCTGACGTGTCTCAGGCAGAAATTGTTCATGGACGAGGTAATGTATTCACGTTTTTTTCACGTTACATTTAGTGATGTTCACCGACCTCCTTCCTCACGTGTCCCACCTTTAACTGGAAGGTATAGCAACTAGACGCCATTGACAAGTGGGTGTGCAATGCTAGTCTATGTTAAAAAAACACCACCTAATTCCCTAGCTAGCAACTAGACGGCATTGATTAGCTAACTAGCTAGCTAATCTACATCAGTCAGCTAGTTTGTTTGCGTTTCACCAACATCAGCTAGCTAACTTAAGTCTTCAAAATGTGGTTGTCTTTTTAACAGAGATTAGCCTAGCACATAGCATATCTAAGTACAGGGAAGGAGAAGGTTGACTGAGGCTTGCTCAACTGTTATTGGAGCACAGACCAAAAAGGGGCGGGACTTGGGAAGAGTGATTTGCATTACATCTCTGCTCCATGTGACACCTGCTCTGGTTGCTGTCCTCAGGCCTTCATCAGAGAGCTGGTGACGAAGCTGGAGGGAGTTCACAAGCAGGAAGAACTGCAGAGCGAAGGCATCGAGCATCCGGTCATCTGCCACAGCCATTACCGCCACGAGCCCTACCAATTCAACACCCAACACCAACCCCAACACTTACAGCACACCCGAGGCCAAAACCAGACCCTCTGACAACCCCCTAACCGAGACACACGCTCACACACACACACACACACACACACACACACACACACTGTCATGGCATGGAAACAAAAATGTCTTGGAAAGAAATATCTACTAACACTAAAGCTTTTTTGCTAAAAGTGAGATGAATAGATCCATACCAGTGTTATATCAGTACACTGAATACGAAAATACAGCCGGGGGGGCAATTTACCTAGCTTAGCATAAAGACTGGATGCACTGAAAAACAGCTAGCATGGCTCTGCGCAAGTGTAACAAAATGTAACAAAATCCCCTTCCAAATGAACATCAACATTAACATGTTGTAAACAAGACCGCAGGACGTCGCCGCAACTGGCGAGAAATAGGCCAGCACATCGCCCGCCATATAACCACAACATGTCATTTTTACACTTTAGTTTTTATAATGATTAAACAAGCTCAGCAAGCTGCAAACAAGACATGTTAACTAGTTAGCTTTAGAGGTGCTGGTAGGCAGATTTGATCATTTTTGGACGGACTCAAGATGGCTGTTTTTTCCTACTTTCAGTTTTTATGCTAAGCTTAGCTAATGGCCATTGGTTGTAGCCTTATACTTAAAGGTCCAGTGTGTAATGTTTAGGAGGATCTATTGGCACTTTCCATTAGTGTATGTGAATATTTGAATCGTTATGTTTTTGTTACCTTAGAATGAGACGGTTTTATCTACACTAGGGTGACCAGACGTCCCAGATTTTCGGGGACAGTCCCCGATTTGGCCGACCTGTCCCCGGTTAAAGCTGTCCCCGAAAATGTCCCCGATTTGAATGGGGGAGAAAAAAAATTGCGTATGGATGCACACTCCAGTTATTATGGTTAAACCATAGGGTTAAACCAGTTTAACTAACGTGCTGACGTTACGCGGTAAATGGCTTGTGTCGACCGGCTGGTCTCTATTTGTTTGCTTTTTTGCTCCTCTGCTCGTCTGTGCAGCTGCAGGTGAGTGACGGGGGAGCCAGCTGGAGAGCGCCTCCTTTTTTCTTTTATTTTAGGGGCACTGTCCTTACAGGGGGAAGCACGCGTTGCAGGTTGCACTCAGAGTTTGTTCTGACTTTCTATCACAAGGAGTGCACAGCATAAGTGTAAATCCTCTCATGTAATGCTTTGCTGTGAAATATGGCTAGAGTCACGAGTGGAGGTGTGCACATGTTGACAAGCTCCAATGAGTTGATTGACATAGCTAAAAAAAAAAAAAACTATAAATAATAATAAGAAGAAGAATCAGAGTCAAATCAGAATCCAAGTTCTTCATATTGGTTAATAGTTTGGAAGGGTTAAGGGTAACTTCTTATTGGCTACTCATTTGCTTTGTCAAAATACATTAACATGTAATTGCCCCTGTTATTCATTTCATAACGATAACGATTAACGATTTTGACCACCGTGCTAAAAAATGTCCCCGATTTTCATTTCGGAAATCTGGTCACCTTAATCTACACGGGTCTGCCATGTTGAACTGCCATGTTTCTACAGCAGCCCAGTCAAACCACAATGGCTCTAGATAGAGAAGTTTTTTGTGTTTTTGCATGTTGGTTCAGGTTGGCTGCAATCTGCATCTACACCATTAGATGCCAATAAATCCCACACACTGGTCCTGTAACAGACAGGTATGAGAGCTGTATTAGTCTTCTCATCTAACTCTCTGCAAGACATCAAATAGGCACATTTCCCAAAATCAAACTATTCTATTAACCACTTGTTGAAAAAACAACTGCTTGTGACATATCTCATGGGTGGATAATTGGCCAAGGATAAGACATTAAACAGAACTACATTTTCAACTTGAAAGCTTATCTAAGAGCAAGGGCTTCACTCAAGATCCCATTCAGTATAAATAGTCAGTCAGTCAGTCAGTCAGTCAGTAATCATTCAGGAAGAAATACATCATCTAAATCTAAATTTACCCACTAGCAGTATCCCCAGAGGACCTGTAATTTGCAGCACCCAAACATGTGACTCTCACTTTTACTCGACTGGAAAAATGTGTCACTACCTTGCTCTTACAAGTATTATTACTCTCCATGTACACATAGTTAGATGCAACAGTTTCTGGCACTGTATCTGATGAAAGGAGGATCTTCAAAAAATAGCATATACAGCTCTTAATTTCAAAATAACCCCGCTATGCATTCAACACCACAGTCTGATCCTCCAAGGGTGGATTTTACACTGCAGCCATCACTATCTGAGTGTAACACTGAATTGTACTGTGGCACAGTTCAATTCAATAACAGTTACAGTACGTTCCACTGTACACATGAGCATTTTAGCTGCACCACTTTTTAGATGACACCACTAGATTAGATGCACATATGACTTATTTAACATCTGTTAAATTGTGATGGTCATGAATGTTATTTATTGTCACGTTTACCGGAAATGAAGATAGAGCCAACATAGTAGTATGATGTAACACTGGAAATAATCCTGTTGCATTGCTTACACTCTGTAGCTTTTTAATATTTCACTGTCATCTCCTCTGTTTTTGAGATGTATTGTTACTACTTTTTTTTTTTTAATTTGCAAAGAGAGAGTCCTTCTCAGAAGTTGCTAATAAAATTATTTCTTTCAGTGTGGGTTCATGTTTTATGTTATTTACTATATTATATAATGTTTTTCCAGGCCAGGAAATCTAAAATACAACTTCATTAGGTACTCCTGTACAAGTTCATGTCATCTAGTATAATAGTTCAGACAAAAATCATATCTTTGTAGCTTCTACTCTTCAGATTTGTTGACACTGAGCAGTGATAACTCTTGGTTTTTTATGCTGTTGTTAGGGATGGATTGTGGACTGTCATATTGAAACGTCTTTTTTATCAAGGTTTTTTTTTCAATCAATATTGTTTTGTATCTTAAAACAGAGTGGAACTTGGATCACTCTGTTCAATTCAATTTAATTTATTTGGTGGCATAACAGACATTATTTCATACAGAGCAGGCCTAGACCATTGGCGGCAGTAGCAAGGAAAAGCGTCCTCGAACAGACCCTGGGTCTAGGTGGGTAACTATATGCTCCGACCGGTTGGGTTTAGAGAGAGGAACATAGAAGCTCACTATCTTATATCCTTTTGGTATGTTACAGTCACATCAACGAAGCACCATCCCCTTCACATAGTGTCCACTTCCAATGTTTGTTCACAACTTTTGCCAGAAAGACGCAGGAACACAAATCACTATATACACATATATACACACTGTACATGGCAATGGCAAATGAAAACACACAAAAATAAAAAGCAATGTCCTTCAGGTTTGAAAGAAACTGTTATTAAACAAAACTAAATACTACTTGACCATGACAGCCAACACTCACACACTCCACCCTGGAGAAAACCCAAGTAGTTGCTCACACTTCTTATCTGTACCGGGATAAATCTTTTAAGAAATGTTCTTAAGAACAGTCCAAAACTTTGACTTATGAGTCAATAAATTCTTAGTAAATAGTAGGACATTAACTTTTACTGAAGTTACTTTTAGCTTATTTATACACAACTTCTAAGTGTGACTCCCTAAAATACATATAAAGGTCAGGTTGGACCTCAGCTTTGGCAGCATCATGACCTTAGGAGGTGGAGTGTAGGATGTAGGAATTTATAAAAGCCCAGGCACATAACACATGATGAGACAAATTTTTTCTGATGGCTGGCTGATGCACCACCAGAAAACAATTTTCCACATTTCACAAGTTCAACTTTCAGTCACAAGTTGCCAACCTATGAACTTAAAGGACAGAGTCATATCTTTTGTATGGGGATGATGGGGGGAGGTTTTTTTTTTTCTTAAAAATGTAAATGAATTCCATGATCTGTTATGGCCTCATTTTAGACAAAGTGATATGCTTCAGTTCAATGAAAAAAGACATGTATTTGAAGATTTAGAAATAATTTTTTTTATTGATTTCTAATATCACCTTTATATATTTGTATTCAGTTATTTACTAATGTGCCACAATATTGAAATGTTTTTGAGTTAGTGTAATTGTTTGCAATTAAATATGCATATATTTCCCCTAAAGTCTCCATGCCACTCTCTTGCCACCCCATGAATATCTTTCTAGATCCGTCATTGTCAGGTGTGCTACAGTGGGACACTACCTCTTGTCCTACACCAGACTGTACACTAGGTGGCAGGGGAGAGCCACAGTGAAGGTTTGGGAAATGTTTTCACAGGGTTTCTTACCTTGTTGACATGTTGCTTTGCTTGGTTATTTTCTAAAATTTCACAATACAACTCTGAGCCATTTCCACATACACACTCCACTCATATATCCCCCAGCTGTTTTCTCTCACTGCTCTGTTTTTTATGTGACATTTGAGCCCTGCTATGGCTACAGTGACCTTGAAGCTCTGCTGTGAAGCAAAGAGGCAGCAGCACCAGTGCTCAGCGATGTGGTCAACCCACATAAAATCTTCCACAGAGGAAAAATACACTGCTGATGGTTTATGAACGGAATTCGGACTCAAGGCCGCGGACACTGAATCATCCTCATAATTCATTGTAACAGAAATTAGTCAGGGCACACATGCATGCAAACACACAGACAGTGTGTGTAGAGCAGAATAAAACATAAAATACTGCAGGGGAATGCTCTGTCCTACTCTGTCCTCCTCAACGGTACAGTTAATGCAATTAGTGTAATTAGAAGGGTCCCCAGGGTGCGGTGTAGAGAGGGGGCGGGGGGGTTTAGGGTCTGGGGTGTAGGAGGTGGAGAAAGGACAGGACAGGCCTTTCCTCAGGAAAACATATCACCTTCCACCACAAAAGAGCCCGTCAGGAAACCACAGGCAGCCACATTGCTCTCTTGAGTCACAGAGTACTTTCGGACACACTCTCACACTCATCAGTCACACACACACACATGCACACACTCCACAGCCTGGCAGCCTGCACAGCCAGCACACTCCAGGATGACATTGTACTGAAACACTGCAAGGCAATCTCATCAGGTAAGTCTCATTCTCTGCATTTTTCCCATACATAAATTGGTGCCTAGCCATTTGTTGTGTTCTTCAAACAGTTATTGTCACTCTCAGAATTTGCAAACCTGTTATTTGTGTTGTCCAGTGATCTTGTAAACAAGGAAATCACACTTACATGTTGTTTTTGTGATGTTGTGGTGAGAAAACTCAGATTGAGGGAGATTAGTTCACAAGATTTTATTTTAACTTTGTGAGGACTGAATTGTTTGACAAAAATGCCTGAACACATTAATTTAGATTAAATGTAAAAAATAATATGTGAAAATGAAAATAAATTTAAGGAGCTGTTATGTTAAGTAATTTTAAACTAAGTGATAGGCTCAAGTTAAATGAAAAAAGATGTAAGCTGTATTTGCCTGAAGATTTGGGAATAAAACAATTGATTTCTAATGCCACCTTTAGATATTTCTATTCAATGCTTTAATAATGTGCCACAATAATCTAATGTTTTTAAGTTCACATATCTTCATTTTATTTTTGAATAATATTGATAATATAGTGTACACCTGCTTTAAATACATGTATAGAGAACCATATAATGTCATTATATGGTTGCTTTTCATAAATGCTTCATGTCTAATCATTTTCAAACTATAATGCGACACTGCTGCAACTCAAACCTGAGGAGTCTGAGGTTCCTATTGGAGTTCTTTTGAAAACGATCAACTTTTATGAAAAATACTGAGTGACTGTGTATGCATATCATACCTCTCTATGTGCTGACTAAACGATACAAATGTCAAGATTTACATTAGAATTACATTGTCTCCATGATTTCAGTATAGAGGCCACCTTGTTACCACAGAGTCCTTATTTTGAATCCAATTCCAAGTCCCACTAAAAACCAGACAGTTGACCCCACTATCTAGACTGGAGCTGGTCAGTGGGAAGCAGCTGAGGACTGTGGTTACACAAGGAAGCTTCCAGGTGTGTATATATAACTACAGATAAGAGAGAAGATGCTGTCGATTAAGAAAATGAATGTGGATTGTTCAAATTCATTATAAAGAAGATGGCCTTTAATTCAGAGTATTTGCTTTACAAACGACAATTCTTATTTTTCTCTTTCAAGATGTGCTATACCTGAAGGCATTAAAGTAAGGGCACAATTATGTTCCCACACCCTTAATCTATTAAAGTTTACATCTTGGTTCATTTATTAAGACTATATTATATTATATATCATATATATTTAGTTTGAGAGCAAAAATGTTTAAAAGTAAAAGTATAGTAGAAATGATCTTTGAATAATAGGTGTTACAAACACAATTTCAGTAAAAAAAAAAAAAAAAAAAAGCTTTAATTGTGCATTCGATGATAACGAAGTCAAACACCAATGCTAAAGGAAATGTTCACATTTTTGTCTATCTTAAAACAATACTCACATGCACATATGTGCTTTGAAACTGGTGGCTGTAATCATTCCTCCTGTCTGTACTTTGTGTTTTCCTGGACAGTGTTACCTTGCTGAGCTGCAGGGGATCGATAGTACCAAAAGAGGGAATTTCGTAGGTCTTGGCTAACTCAGACTCTTGGTGCCTCATATTAGCTTTGGCTGAATTTTGGAATGCATTTTTGCACAGAACAATGACTATGGATGTTGTTGGAACTTACAGCAAACAAAAAACATTTTAATGACCATTATGGGCATGTGAGTGTTGCTTTAAGGCAAAATGAAAATAATGTGTATGACAGACAAAGAACAGAGGACTAGTTTCTGATGTGTAGAAGAAAACATGAATCAGCTCCCCTTGATACCATATGGGAAACGGTTGTGTTACAGCTCCATAACGTAAGCCAGCCAGAGCACTGAGTTGTTAGTGTAAAATCATGGCATCATTTCTATAATTTAGATTTTAATTCATAACAATCAAACAAGGAATATTTTGACCTCTTAGAATTGTAAAATATTGAGTGGTTAAACTTTTTGTTTACTATTTAACCTTCATTTAGAGGTCCTTAAAAGGAAAGACCAAAATGACCATGTCACTGGTATTAAATCTAAAAGGCATTGACCTTTAGGCATTGAGTATCCAGTGTTTTTGTGTGTGTATTACATTCTTTAGTGGTCCTTTTCTGACAAAATCTTTGTCATAAATGTCACTCTTAAAGATATAGTTTTTAAATATATGACAGATTCCTAATATTAACAAAAAATTAAAAATAAAATTTAAAAAAAAGAAACTATAGAGTCTGGAAAAGCAGTCAATGACCCAGATTTTGTCTTGGTATTGCAGTAAAAAGTCCAGATAATGCAATATACAGGAACTCTCCTGCCACTGTATTACCCAGTTAACATAATTATTTGTTTCTGAATTGTAAAATATTTATTTGAAGTTGCAGTTCAGCACGTGTAAACACAGCAATATTTTGCATACGTATTTCCTATTTGCTTAGTGAAGCATTGCATAACCACCATGTGAAAGGATGTTTTTCATTCCGGTTACATAAACCATGCACCACCAGAAAAAACAATTTTCCACATTTCACAAGTTCAACTTTCAGTCACAAATTGCCAACCTATGAACTTAAAGGACAGAGTCATATCTTTTGTATGAGGATTTATGAGGTATTTTGCAAGATATCCTG